TATATATATATATATATATATATATATATATATATAAACATATTTTACAGTAATGATCATATGCATGCACAAGATTATGACATGGATTATAACCCTGGAGAATTGGCCCGTCAGGCGAGGCTTGAAAACTGATTGTCAGTGGTCTTCATGCCAATCCAGATGTGCAAAAACTGATAGTACCGCAAATGACTTGAAGATTTTTTTGCCATTGAAAGTGATTTTTTTTTTTTTCAAAGGGTTGACTCAAGGGGTTGAATATCAATGCGTACCTCACTTTTAAGATCTTTCCTCTAAAATGTATAATTTAGAACAAGAAGTTTTGGGGATGGAATGTGACAAAATTGGAAGGGGGTCGGGGGCCTTCTGCCCTTTCACAGAAGGAGATAACGCCGTATTAGTTTTTAATATGCGATATTTAGATGAGAATCGCTCTAACTATTGCGTGCAAGGGCGGTTGCATAATGGTCAGACTTAAGTCGCAGTGTATGGAAAGCGTTCTAACCTCACATCACGGATCAGCTCGCATCTTCACGAACATTTTCACAGTTCACTAAGTGGGAGAGGGCTGCTCTGCCGAGTGGAAGTGTTTGTTTTCTGTTTCTCTCTCTCTTTTTTATTCTCCCCCTCCTCGAGAGTGCGTGTGCGCGCGCGCGCTTCTCCTCCAGTCAGCCCAACACGGTTCCTGAATATTCATGATAGTGGCTCTAAACGTCAGGACGCAGCGGCGGCTCTTCCTCCCTGTCAGAGAGAGGCTGGGAGAGAGGAGAGAAGAGGAGAGGAGAGGAGGGACATCATGCCACATCGCTCGGCTGCATTTCTCCCACCGACGCTGAGCGACGGCTTGCTGTTAAGCGCAAATCTGCCCTCAACCCGTCTCCAGGCTGCAGCGGCAGCTCGGCGAGGCTCGGCGCTGCGATGAACTGACGGGAGGAGGAAAGAAGCAAACAAGGGAGAGATAGAGAAACACCGCCTTCTTCTCTTCTCTTATTTATTTATTTATTTATCTTAAAAAAAAGCGAGCTCGTATTTATTGGACGCACCTTGGGTTCGTATCTTGAGAGCGGGAGAGGTGGGGAGGGGGGTGGGGAAATCGAGCGACCGCCGAAAGGGAAAAACGGTGACGGCGAGGAAATGCTTCGGGACAAGTGGCCATAAGCAGAGAGAAAGAGAGAGGGAGAGTTACCTGCACGATGGAGGAGACACGTCGGGGTTAAACGGAGCTGGCGACTTCCCACGTTGCGGGGGAAGAGATGTTTTGCAACTGTCGTCCGCTGTTTGGAGGGGATATGCCTCCCCTGGCTTCAGTATTCGCTTGTACGGCGTAGTGTTTGGGGGAGCTGAGCACGTAAAGCTGTTCCTGTTGAAGCCCGTAAACATAATAACAATAATAAGCGTCGTACTCCGGCTTGATCAACAATTTCTTTCTTTTCCCTTTCTTTCTTTTCTTTTTTTCTTTTTTCTTTTTATTTTTTACCTCCGTTCTTGAACTTCCATGACTCCGAGCGCAGCCTCCTGAGCTGTCCGTGGTGCTGAATGAACCAGCCGGCACCGAAGCCTCCGCCACGCCGGGACAACCGCCGGGCTTGACTGGGTCGGCCAGTGTTCCCGCCCTCCCCCCTTCACTTGTTTTTCTTTTCTGTTTGTTTTATTTTTTCATGGCTGTGGCACGCAAAATCAAAACTTTGCTGACCGTCAACATCCTGGTGTTCGTGGGGATCATCCTGTTCTCGGTGTACTGCAGGATCCAGGACCGATCCGAGGAGCTCATCCAGCTGGGGCGCCTCTCCGACCAGAGGCTGAGAGCCAGGAATGGCAAAGTTTCCAACTTGGTGGACAGGCAGTCTATTCTTCAGCGGCTGGAGAGGCTGGAGGATGTGGTCTACAACCAGCTAAACGGTAGGACGTGGCTTTAAAAAGCGGGCAAGTGTTTTAAGTTGAGATGGGCGAAATGACTAAACATGAATAAGAGGGACAGTCGTGAAAAAAACTAGGATATCACATTTATTCTTTTTATTAAGAAACGTTCACATATTGATGCGTAATCTAAATTTTTTAGATTTAGGCAGAAAAAAATTCTTACAAAAACTACTTTCTATCTGAGGATCCTATAGAAAGTCTTGGGCTGAAATAATTTCAGTGGCATGCTTCATGCAGTCAGTCAGCAATACCTGACATCTGTCTGATCAAAATGTTCTCAGTTGATTTATATATTTTTTCTTAACTAATGAGCTCACATTTTTCTCAAGCACCTTTTTAAATTGCTGCAGCAGCACATTCCCAAACTATGACAGTTCCAGCTCTGTGCTTCACAGCTGGTTTGAGATCATGCTCCTAGAATGCCGCTTCTGGTGTTTGAAATATTAAAGATCGACCCATCTTGTCATAATAACAGTTTTACTTAAGTCCCAGTCTTTGTCTGCCTTTCTCTTTTTGTGTGTGTGGAAAATGTAATCTAGCCTTCATGTTTTCCTTATGTTGCAGCTGTTCTCTCCCATTGAAGTTAAACTTATGCGCTCTCTTTCTGAATGTAAATGTATGTTATAAAATGAACAGAAGCGGCGGCTTGCTCGGACAGCTGGACTCGGGCATGTCGGCAGCTGCTTTGAATGTCCTCCTCTTGCAAAACGACTTTCAGTAAAGAATCAGAATGACTGATTTGAAATTCTTTTGAGACCTCCTTTAGGTCTCCCTGAGGTGCAGCAGCTTATCTGAATATAAGCTGCTGCAATTTTGCTTCTGAATGCTCTAGACAGCTGTCTTTTTCTTTTTTTTGCACTGACAAAAAAAAAAAGGTCAGAGTTTCACTGCAAGAAACTCTGACCTTTTATACACAGGAAACGTCCTTCAAAACGCTGAGGAATGATGTTCTAATGATGTGTCTAATATGAGACATTTTAAGTAGGTATATATATATATAGATATTGGGATGTTGCATTTTACAGTTTTTGTAATTTATTTGTGCCGCTTGAATTTCTCAGTATTGCTATGATTGATGTTAAACGTCTCTATGTTCAAATACAAAAGAAAAACAGCCTCCTATTATTTACACCACTGCAGAGCCTTTCTGAACTGTAGAATATCTTGTCAACACAAGCTTGCAGTCTCATGAGTTTGCCTTTATGTGGACCATAATTCATGGATCTGTGTTTTTTTTTTTTTTTTTTTTTGTAATCTTGCAGCCTCATTTTTATTTTTGTGAAACACTGAAAAATAATTGGTTTCCCACATGAAACTGCATTAACCAGGTTGGCGAGGTTTGGCTGGTGGCCTATTAGGAGGCTAATGAAGCAAGGCCCTCCATTAGAGTGCGATGCCGTCTGCGTGTGCCGTCCGTTCAGACTTTACTGGACTATATTCTTTTAACAACCTTCCCAGTAAATGACTTGTTGTAAAGTTCACAGTGACTGTAAGTGTTTGGTCGGTAATTGTGTGCATATTAGATATTTAAATAACAGACGCCGGGCTTGACTGGCGACAGCAGCATCACCTACAAATAATTTTCACCAAGCAGTTTGCTTTGGTGGTGTTAGTCTGTGGTTTGGTCACTTCAAAATCATATTTTAAGAGACAATAACCCTTTTATATCCATAATCTTCCAGTCAGATGGGTGTTTTAGGTTTGGATATACATATCCCTTTGTCTTTTCCATATGTTGTCATGGTAATATCTACTATGCTAGGGAGACATAAAAAAAAGCTCCAAAAACTGTGAAGTAGAGCTAAAATGACATGTGGTTTTCAAAATATTTTACAGTTTAAAAAAAATATGAAAATCTGGTTTGTGTTTTTCGATGCCATTAGCTGCTAGTCCTTGCATATCATCAGCAATTTTTGTTGCCTAGTTTTCTTGGAAGAAAAGCACAAGCGGAGTCAAACTCTTAAGTGGAGCATCCGTGGACTTCAGTCGTCAAACCTCGCCAGTTAGATTCTGGACTAGACTTTGACTAGGGCATTCTAACTTACAAATAAGCCTTCATCCTAACTAGGTTTGCAAAATGTTAGGTACATTTATAATTGCAATACTTATAATTATGATTCTACACATATTTTTTGACTTTTTGTTTTCTTTAAAATTGCACAATTTCCCCATCCTCCCTGAGCGTTAGCATCTCAACCACTAAAGACATCCATCATATTTGGGCACTAAGGGCGGCTACACTCCATCCACTATATATTTATAGAATTTTATTTTGTATTGTTTAACAAAATATCGCATCAAAGCAGTCCTTTGTGATTGCAGTTACGCATAGACTGATATTACGATAAATATTGTGATTGGATACATTGATTTGAAACCATTTCATTGCATCTCTGGATGTATCTTTGGCATCATGGTCCGAACAACTTTGTTTGTCTATCTATGAAAGGCAAAAAAACAAACACAAGTTTGTTGTGACAAAATCTTAACAGCCATAAGAGATTATAATACCTTAACACTATAAACAATCCAACCTGAATATCAAGACCTCTACTGGTAGGTAAAGTGTAGTATATATTGTGTCTGCTGTATTTGTGGGGGCCATCTTTTTGTGATTCTATTGGGAAATCCTTTATGATAGTATTTAAGTAACTTTAACACTTAGGGTATGTCCCATGTGCTGACCCAGTTTTCATTTTCTTAGTAATTCAATTAATGGTTTAGATGTAAATAATCAAAGTGTAAAAACAGTGTAGAACAATACATTATCTTCAGATGTACTCTTTTCTGTTATATCGAGAAAACGTTCGTGCCTGTTGGTGAGGGGGGGGGGGCACGAATAGTTTTTCATTCTGTCTACTGTGCATCTCACTGTTGAAATGAAAGAAACTATCTCTTATTGAATAAAGTATTTTTTTTTCTCCCACTGTGCTGCGCTCGCCCACAGAACAAGTAAAATGTTCTTAATCTTGCGACTCGTACAGCGCCGCTTTATTACATTACATCACGCTCGGATCCAGCAGCGTTGCTGATGGAAGACTGATTCGCTGATTAAAAGAAGAAGTGAGACGGCAAATTGCAGACGTTTCAAAAGTATATTCCAGCTAAAATATGTCATTTCAGACATTTGCTAACTCTGTTAAGCTGTAGCAGGCGTGCTTAGTTTATAAAACTTTAAGCACCTACATAAAGACAAAAGTATTATCTAACTTATTACTCACTGGTCAGTTAGTCTGAGTAATATAGTGAGTAAATAACACTGAGACTGAGTGCATTATCAAATAGTATGAAAATTCCCTTGGATTGTTTAATCACTTCTAATATTGTGTCTAATAACAATTTGAAATCTAGAGAAGATGGCATTGAAGATTCAGAAAATATATTTGGTACTTTAAGCTTTTACTGTGTGGCAACTATACATAATGCATATATTGATTCTATAATTAGAGGTAACATATAATCAACTGATTGGACAACAGCAAACCAAAATTAAACAAAACTATAAGAGAGACATCTTGTTGTGCCTCTTGTCCCCATTTTTATTTTCATGAACTCCACTTATTATACTGATGAAAATTATTTTATTCCACCTTCAATATTGCAGGAGTGAGAACTGTTAGACATTTCCATTTATGAAAGACCGCTCCCATGTGTCCTTCACTAAAACAAATATTGAAGATAGCATTGAAATTTCTTTCCTTAGCTTTTTAGGGTATTTAAAAATCTCTTACAATGGCTGCTGGACAGACGACACAAATAACCAAAGCTAAGCTACAAGACGCCATTTTTTTGTTTTCACAGAGTCAAGGTTTCACATATCTCACAGTTGGAAAACAATTTTAATAAGTGTGAAATGTTACAGTTTAGGTTAGACTGTGTTGTTGTTTTTTTTCTTTTAGTGCTTAATTTTGAGGTGGTGCAAGTGTCAGAGGTTTTGAAGTGTTTTTGATTCTGTTTTCATGAGCAGAATAAAGGTTTTATACATAAGAAACTTTGTTCTAAGGTATCTCAGTTCAGTGTACAATAGAGGAATTTACAGAAAGAGTGAAATAGGCCTTTACTTCAGCACAGAAGCTGATTCTTACCTTTTACATTGTTGGCAGCATCGGTAATAAATTTATGGCATTTTTAAAATGCAGCTTTTTGTGGGACTAGATTTTATTTTGTTTTAATATGGTGAGATCTTGTAACATCTCTGTCTTTAAACCTGTGAGTATTCACCAGGTTAGAAAATATTTTCAATTCAATGCTATAATGCTAAACAAACATCCATCATATTCCAAAACCCTTTTGATAGGGAAGAAATTATATAAAAATATAGATTTAAAATTGGGCATGATTTCAGTTTACCACAGCTGTAAGTCATTCAACAATAGCTGCCAAAAATGTTACGTCCAAATAAAAAAATATTCTTGGAACATGAAGTATGACAGAGGAGAATGGTTGCAGCTTAGTTGCAGTATCTTATCAGCTTAGATAGTTTCACAATCGTCCTTTTTTTATTTTTAGTCTGTTTCATATTTACAAAGTAGAAATGCAGGCTTTTCTGGCCTTGATCCTGTTGTAATGCTGGAGCTTTGGCACATTTTTGAGGGTCACTGTCTTTTAGAGTTATGCTTAGCTTGTGGCATAGAGCCAGCAGCGTTAGGCTCTCAGACTGAACATTGAATCCTCTCATTCACTCGGATGTTTGTGAAGATAATGCAAGTAAACACTGAGGTAAAACCCCCGGTGGGCTTAGAACAGGGGTGTCAAACTCATTTTGGTTTTGGCCCAAATCAAAATCATGAATGCTCTTAAAGGGACGGTTGTGCCAGAATATCCTGATAAAACCTGATCACAAATTGTTAAAATATCAATGAATTTTTAAAATTAAATAATTTGCTTGAATATTATGTTATCAGTCCCAACAATATAATATATTATGTTATATTGTTGAACATCTTTTCAGTCCCGCCAGGATTTTGTGATTATTTTTG